TGAAATCCATCACAATCTTTTTATGGAATCTTTTAATTCAGCATCACTATTAATTGATCAGGAAATTTTTGATGTCAAAGCAGCTCCCACCTTGGTGCCTTTGTTCAGCAAATGCAGACATGTGCCTTTCCATATCTAGCTTTTCAGTAGTCACTGGAGATCACCTTGGATCTTTCTCACAGTTTGATCATTGAGAAAAGTACATGAGTGTTTACTCACATGATGTTCAATAGCAAAGTCAGTAAACTCAGACAAGAGTGAAATCCTTACTGCCAATTCCAAACATCCACTTTAACTAATAACTGGATGAAGGTATATGTAGGGAGAGGTTATGGCAACCAAATTCTGAAGGTTTGTGTCTTCGTTTATGAAACAGAAAATTGACACTTCACATTTCAGATAGAGGCATTTTAATACACGTACTTGTTTACAGAACAATAAAAGGAATTACTCCTTCAATGACTCATAGTTTGATTTTTTTGGTGCTCATTAGTGATTCAGAAACATGCACAACTCTTCTGGACAGAAGAGGCTCCTGGTAATGGAGTTCATCATTACATCCACTTACCTGGTAACACTTACTTCAATTTTTAAATCAGAGGATCAAATTTGCAAGGAATAGTATGTTAAAACAACAAAAAGGAAATACATGAAGTCTGATCACTGCTTCATTTCCTAAGCCATTCAGATGTTCATTTGAAAGAAAGGAAGAATATTTCAAAAGTTTATTAATGCCTAGACAGTGATGTATAAAGGCAACTAACAAGAAATCCATCTTTCCAGAACCAGCAAGTTATGGAGACTATAAAAACAAGCAGCTGTGTTTATAACTGAAAGCTTGAAGGCTGGAGTCCCTGAAACATCTATCAAGTCTGGCTAGCTAAGGTCCAACCACCTTCTTCCAAGACCTTTATGAATAACCCCTTCAATGAAGTGGTTTTGAACTCGAAACTCAAGAAAAGCGTGCAATTTCACAGGAATTAAGAATTAACATTCCCGACTTAAATCACACAAGCCAATCTCACAAACGGAAAGGCACAGGTCAGCAGCTGCCAATTCAAACATGGGAATGTCGATTCCGGTGGCCCACCCTCACTTTTGGTGAACAAACTTCACTGTTTCCCTCCATCATTTTTCAACGATTAGCAAGCAGCGACAGTGTGGCAACATGGTTTAGAGTCCCATTTTTGAACTGGCTATCAATCCCAGAAACAGCGACACATTGCCAACAGAGCCTTTCGAAAGGCTAAAACAAGTGTGTCAAGGACTCAAGTACTTGAGCGTGACTGGGTTTGAAATACTGCAGGTCAAAAATGGACATATTTATATATTTCGTCTTTAACAGCCAGGAATCTTTCAACAACACACTGATTAAACCTGAAATCATAGAATCACAGAATGGTTTGGGTTGGAAGAGACCTTCAAGACCATCTAGTTCCAGCCCCCCTGCCATGGGCAGAGAAACCCTCCACTACACCAGGTTGCTCAAAGCCTCATCCAACCTGGCCTTGAACACTTCCAGGGATGGGGCATCTACGCAGAGTACTAGGATGGACTGAAAGCATGTTCCTTTTTAAAGAAACACGGTTTTGAACAAGTATAGGCATGTTTAAGTGAATGTCAATGAAAACAGCAGTTCAAAGCAGAAACGGAATTTTTAGTGTAAGAGTTCTCCTGTGCTACAGCGGGGTAAATGATTATAACCAAGATGGTAACCGTTCCAGAGAGCTGACAAACTAAGGTTACAATAAAATGCAACTGGTAGATAGCTACGACTGCACAACAATTTGAAGAAGAGTACAGCTAACAGTGAAATGTATTTGCATAATTAGTTCACTCTACTGTCATTATGATCAAGACTTTCTGAGACTATAAATGTTTAATGTGAACAATTTGTTAAGTATCTTCAATTTTTATACTTGTTTTCCTGGTGGGAAAAATGCCTCAGTAGCTTAGAGGTGAAATCTGTAACAACAACCAAAGCAAAAAAAACTCCACAATAGCTATTAGTCAAACAGCTGCCACTTCATACTAGAATAGGCTGATCAAATTCTGACAGTTCTGAGCTCTGTAACCTTTTTTTCCACATTTCTTCCCAATTTGTTGTCCTCTCAAATCTGTGTTGAGAGACATAACACAAGCAGCTTGACTCCAGCTGGAATGGCAAGGAAAACAGTCTGTCTGGAGCCAGAACTTCGAAAGATGCTCCCAAATATGCTCATATACTCATTTCACTCAAAGAAGTGAAATGAATATACAAGGAGCCATGATGTATTTCTCCACCTATATGAAATATATACAAACTACTGACCCAGCCCTGTTTGTCTCCACATTCACCTATAGCAAACCTGAAATTATGGCTGTGCTTCTGGTCAATTCCCTGGCATTACTGCAGCACATTCCAAAAGGCTGATATCAACATTCCTTCCTAGAGAGCTTGATACTGGATTGGTCACTGAAATGAAGAAGGTAGGTGGCGTGTAGAAGTGGGGTTGTTAAACAGCTGGCAACAGCTGTGTTTCAGCTATTATCACACAACATTTACTAACTACAGCCAAAATATTGAGCAATTTTTAGAATTGTAGCAGTTTCCACATTCATTTTATTTCCTCTGACCTGTTTTCAGCAAAAATGGTAGTCACAAGGAGAGGCAGTAGAAAATATATTTAACTAATGCCAACCGTTCGGTACCTCTTTTGTATCAAGATTAGGCTTCTGACAATTCAGAATGCCTTCTTTTTTGAAGCATCTAGCTCAACAGCAGGAATAGAAATGCGTAGAACAGAAAAACTTGGTAGCTTCTTTCAAGCTTATCCATACCGTAAGACATACAATTCTCAATCAAATCACTTTGTGAAGGTCTCAACTATATTAAACATAAACTTCTGCTAATGATAATCTTGCAGAAATCCAAAATCATCACCTGTTACATTCCTCAATAGTTGTAATTTCTTCCCCCAATGTTTTCTTATCTTTCACAGCTAGACAGCAAATAGAAACAACACAGCAGCATGAAGATGCATACTGTATAAACACCATAAGAACTTTGAAGAGACCTCTATAAAAATAGTAATTAATTTCATTTCAAGAATTTATTTTCTCATTTACTGCTAGTGATTTACAAACAACTAGATCTGTCTGAATTGAAAAGAAAGAATAATCCAAAATTTACCTCAGTAAATTATTCTATACAGATTTGAGACAGAAGATATGAAGCTCCACAAGACAAGAGAACAGCAGGTTAATTTCTCCCTCATGCATACTGGACTCAGCTTACTTCAGTCAACGCAAGTACGTATGTAACTCAACCAATGCACTGCCTAGAACGTCCCATACAATGTGGTAACTGTCCAAGGCTGGAATACCTGAACTTCCCAAATCAGAAGTAATATCTATTTTTTTTATTATTTTAGATATGTAAACAACCTCCCTGACTCACTATATAGGAGAGTTAAATCCCTGGAATCATTCATACGAATTAAACTAGCACTTGGGTTTGTGTCTACCTGAAATAAAGAAAAAAGAACCACATTCCAAGCTCATTCATCTCAACAAAACTGGCATTACTCCAGTTATTTCACGGCATAATTTATGACATCCATACACTCTTTTAAAATCTGGTGAGTCAGGTGATCAAAAACAAAGCAGCAGATGTGCTCATACTTCCTCAAAATAATCTGTTTATGAAACAAACACTGACACTCAGTGCTGGATATGAAATATTTTCTGATGTACAAGAAATAGACCTTTCCAAACACCATTAATTTGTATATGTGATTCTGAGCTCTGTTTATTTCATGGATGTTCAAAATTTTGTTTCTGAAGTACCCATGTATATCAGATATTGCATTTCAAAGCTTCACCCTCCATAGACTTATATACAAAGATTTATATGAAATATACTCTGTAAAACAAAGACAAAATACTCCAAATCCAATAAACTGTTAAAGGCAAACTACAATAAATTCAAATAAACTCATTTAAAGAGGCACACTGTGTTGCTAAATACAGAAATAACTTAATAAAAGAAAGAACAAAGGCGAGGAAAGCCACCTGCAAAACTTACTTTCTTAAATGGTAAGACAAGAAATTTCTGCTGCATTGTCTTGGGTGAGATGAAATATACCAGCACTTAACCACCTCTCGCAACAGTACACTGGTTAATTCACAAAGTTTTAACACACAAATGAAAAAATCCTCTATCTAGTTCATACAGCAAATGCAGTTTGCAAACTGAAAGATTACCCAAATTAAAACCTTTGTGGTTATAAGGCTGCAGAGTTTACATCCCTGCTCTCATGGCACTTTCTAATAAGCACAGACAATCATAACTTTAAGTTGAATGCTACCTGAAAACCTTCACTTTCAGCAGCCAGTTCCTCCTAGCCCCACACTCAACCACAGCTCAGTTCCAATTAAGAGGCAAGAATCAGGCTTCAGGTGAAATTACATGAGATCAGTGAGCCTCAAAGGTCTTGCTCTTCCTGCCTGATCCTAGCCACTGGCACCATTTCTCAGAGCAGCTATGCATATCTGTGAAACCCTTTACTGCACTTTAAGCTGCATAAAGTCAGATAGTTATCTGTGGGCTAGTGAGCTGAATGGGTACACAGAAGGTACCCAACAAAGGACAGAAAAAAATTCAAGATGGAAGGTGAGACCTCTCCTATTTTGCATCAAAAAGCCAGTAGATTAGCTCTTAGTTTCTCAACAACATAATTTTCTGAAGAATGTGGGAAAGAAAAATCCTGAAAACACCTAAATACCAACCTGGCCCAACTGTGCTCACAATAGCTTGTGAAATCCGATAAGATCAAAAAACGGTGTAAGGCTGCAGGCTTTCTAGGGTTTGAAGATAACTTTACAGCTATAAATAGTAACCAGCACGTTTAACACCCAAACACCTTTAAACAGCTTGTCTTTATGGCAAACCAATAACCACATTAAAAACACAAGAATTTTATTGACAAAACTAAGTTAGACAAAATGCATTAACTTACTGAATCCAGAAAGCAGAGATAGGTTCCTGAGCTCTGAATTACTGCTTGATTTTTAGCAAATCCAACTGTTGAGAAAACAAAGACAAAATTATGTGGTAGTTTCTACCTTTCCGTTTTTTTCCTTCGGTCAGGAGCAGATGAAAGGAAATACGAAAATCAGCATCAGGGGAAGTATGTGAATTTTCCATATTTAAAACTCAAGTAATTTGTAAATATTTAAATAGCATGCCTATTTCAGTCTTCATCTCTGAGTGGTTACCAGTTGTATGTGTCAGAATTCTACCACCAAGCAGAATTAGACTACTTTTGCCAGCCCTCCACAAAGACATAACATGCATCTTAAAGAGTCCAGCTACCTAGGTCTCACATCCAGTACCTCAGATCATAGAACCACAGAATGGTTGGAGTTGGAAGGGACCTTTAAAGGTCGTCTAGTCCAACCTCACCTGCAATGAGTACATTCATCTCTTAAGTCACAACAAATAGGAACAAATCACAAAAAGGCAAAGAAAGAGCAAGAGATTGCTAGGCAACTTGTTCTTCCCATCAGGTCCGCAGAAGGAGTCAAAAAAAAAAGTTCTGTTCCATTATGCTTGTTAAATATAAAGTATGCAAATCAAAAACTTCATGTATCGTTTACGTAATGGCACATGTAACGCAGAGGGGAGCCAAAGCAGAAGAATATATGTACAAGGAGCACAAACCTGGCTTATTTATACCATAACATGTCCTACCATCTACGGAAGACCACACTGAAATACAAATTCAGTCAAATGACAATGCGGCATCTAGGGTCTTTCCGTTGCTGACTCCCTGACACTTGCTGAATCTTTTACCAAGCCATTTCAGGAAGTTGCACTAGAAGAAAACTTTTTTTGTCAGCTTAATCTCTGAAGCAGGTGACAGCACTGGAGGGCAATCAAACGGCAGAGCCAGAAAAAAAGGAGGGGAGCAGGAACACACAGCCAAGGGTAAGGATGGGACTGCAGTGAGCAGCAATAAGATGAACTCAGCTTATCACTGAAATATACCTGCAAGGCAGGAGTGTTTATCTGGGATAATTTTTGTGTGTAGACAAGGTTACCTGAGAACATTCTGGTCTTTGAATTCTTCTCCCAGGGCAGCATTATAAAAAAAGATCACACCATATCCAGTGTTATTCTGAAAAACACTCTATGAATTCCACTTGGTCATACACGTAACGTTTAAGCTTTGTTTAAAGTACTTATAGAACCAAGTCCAGGAATCCAGTAAAAGGTGGCCCTGATGTGCAAAGCAAATGATGCAAAGCTACGCAATACTGGGGGATTTTTATTCTTTAATGGGAAAACTGGAAACATAAAGCCAGAAAATCTCACCATGAAATGGAGTAGGATAATTTTAAATAATATTATCCCTAAAGTCACCGATTTTGCATCTGAAAAAATCAGACTTCTGTAATTCTCTACTCTTTTTATGTGATACAGGTTTAAGTTTGGTCAGGAAACAAATCTAACTGGGCTCAAAGATTCACTTAGTTTTAACATACATGCTCCTTGGATATTTTGCTGAGTTGTCCAAGTACGGAAAAAGACTTATGACTGCATTTCTTACTGCCTCAAAGGAACATTATGTCAACTACCAACAGAACACTACTAATAAAGGCTCTTCCTTATAATTCTGTTGTTATTTTCTTACATATTTTGAGTTTATTACTCCTCAACTTCTCCTCATCATGGACTTCTTGGATTTCTTATCTTACAGTATATTTACATTTTGCTTTTTATACATGTATGAATATCTAATCTCACAGACACAGCTACTCTCCTTCTCCTTCCTATTGGCAGTAAGCAAGCAGCTGGCAAAGTCAGTAGCTGCCACAACAGCAGAGCTGAATCCTAGCATGAGCAGTTCTAGAGAAAACAACGGATGCAAGTTAGCAGGCCTGGACATGCCAAACAAGCAAAACCCTCATACTCCAGAGGTCCCTACCAAAGCAAGAGGTAAAAGAACAGGATAGACCTAAATTTCCCCCACATCAACCAAATCAATACTCTCATACATTGTTACCAGCTCTAAAGCAGCCTGTACTTACACTTGAATGCTGTCATTAGTATATCCCAATGTTTCGACAACCTTCAGCGGAAAATAATGAAGTACTAGGAATCAGTAATGTAGGAAAAAAGTGAAGGAGACTCAAAGGCAACTACAAGATGACAATTATACTACTCTATGACCTTTCTGAAATATTTCAGATCTTGTGTTCACATAAAGCACTTTAAATGAAATCATGAAATATTTAATACTTGTCGTAAGAAAAAGTTGGAAAATATTTCTTTCTAAGATTAAGACCATCCTGAAGCTTTTCATATACCAGCTATTTTTTTTTTAGAAGGGAGAGAAGAAAATACACATATTTAAAAAATTATTAATAAGAGAGATATAACTCCCTGTAGAAGAAACTAGATATTAAAAATTGTTTCACCATAACAAATCCTATGTTTGGCATGAGTAAAAAATTTTCTTTAATATTACTCTATTGAACAAAATCAAATGTTTGTGCCAGGTCTCTGAGTATTGTAAGGCCTGCTTACTTGGTGAAAAGAGCCTGTTACCATGGTTACAGCCGTAAAAACTTAAGCCTCAGTGAGATATTAACATTCCTCACTCTTGGAAAGAAAAAGGTTTCCTTTTTTTAGGCAAGTGACCCTTTCTTTTTTCCTAGGTTCCCCCCCTTTCTTTTACATGTTAGAAAAGAATCAGAAATAAATCCTAATCTTGTGTAAATAGTTGAAGATGTGAAGCTTGACTAGTACATTGTTTCTGTACTAAAGCATCTTCTTTTAAAGGAAAGACTCCTTACAGTCGTAACTAGTCCTTAACATAATAAAAGTAAATCACAGAAAGCAAACAAATACTATGGATTTCAAGTAACCTGCTCCTAAAATGTAACAACCATGAAGAAAAGATGTGCTTATTTTAATGGTGACCTGAGAGTGACTTCCACATGAATAAGCTTAGTTGTTGTGGTGTTTTTTTTAAAAAAAAGAACTATGCATTTCATACTATTATTTAAAACAATGCTCACAGCTGCATCTCCACCCCCAATTTATTACAGATTTGTTCAGGTTTCAGCCATCCCAACACTGACAAATGCATGTTAAAACAAAAAATAATCTGACATATCTCTAATGGCACAATACACTCCTTGTAGTTTACAACTCAAACTTTTTAGTTTCCATTTCCTAAAGGGCAAAGGTGAACTGACTTCAGAATTCTAATGTAAATTATTGTCCAAACATTGCACCTGTGTGTTCCTGCAAGCTAAAAACTAGTTTACACACAATTAATAGAACAGTCTGTTAAGAATAAGACTTTATACATAGAAAATGTTTTACAAAAATGGAAAATACACGATATAAGAAGATGGTATTAAAAAAAACATTACTAACCAACTTTCTTAAGTACTGTAATTAACAACTTCTGGTATTCTTTGACTTTTTTCCTGAGAAATTGCAACCTGCTTGGCTGCTGGATCATCAGCTACTAAGAGAAGTAAGATTTAAAGGAGACTGATCACCCAATAGTTGAGGGCGGGGGGGAACTGGGAAGAAGATGGATAAATTTCCAGGAGTACAAGCAATTCTTGACATTGCTCAACTCCAGCTACAAACCTTGTCTGTCTTTTGTCGTCACCAGCTCAATAATGCCAGTACTACAAGTTTCACTGTCAAAACAACTTTCGTGCTAGAGATATTAAAATAGTAAAAATATTTATAGTAATAGTTATGCTGTTTTACTTCAGTATTGCTAGGTCTGACAACAGTTTCAAAAACAGCTTTAAAGAAGTCTATAGCCAAACAAACCGACAGCAAATAAAGCCAGGGGCCCATTCCAAGTTGCAGATGAATTCAGTGCACAAACTCCTATTTCTTTGTGCGTTTCAACAACGGGATGAAAATAAAGCCGCCTGAAACAGAACTGGGCTTTTTCATAACAAGAACACTTTGAGGAGAATGTAATAAAACTGGGCTTCCGTGCAGGGTTCTTTGTTAAAAAACAGAAACCGAACAGCTTTTGTGTTACAGTGTTGCCAAAGTGCAACATAACTGGAAAGAGACAAATTTGGAACCAGTTTTGTATCAATTGTCACAAAACCCAGAATGATAGAAACGTTAATTACAGAGCTCCCATCAAGGTGTGAGCACGCTGCTCTGCTTGCTTTGCCCTGTTGTTGCTCTCCCTCAGATCACAGACACAATTTTCCAACTTTAATGCCACCCAAAACCAACTTCTTCAAAGAGCAATATACTTTTATTTCTATTTCACATTTTAGCAAGCTTGTCTGCTGAAAAACCCCAAAACATAAAACAACCAAACCAAGCAAAAGAAAAAATGTTAGAGATTCATTTGTTATCTCCCCTAGTGGGTAAATGTAATTCATATCAGCATGTAAACCAAGAGGGAATCACACCACACACCTATCTGGTAGCTCACTAAACTTACTGGTTTAGTCCTTTGTGTAAATACTTAGGAGCTTAGTTCGCATCAAAACTTTTCCAAAACCCATGTTTTGATCTGATCAAAGGGATACCACAATGTATGTTGTTCTATTTCAGAGTCTAGCCTACAATACTGAAAGATACGCACGGACTTCTAAATCCTTATGTAAGAAATTTTTTATTTCTTTTTTCTTAAAATCCATCCCCTGTAGACAAATCAGATACCAGAAAGTCACAGTAAAATTGTAAGCATTAACAACACTGTGTATACTACAATTAAACAAAATTCTTTTGCAGAGTAGAGTGCAAGTGTTAAGCCAAGTTGTTCTTTTCTGGACGTATAAACAAATTCTACAGAGTTAAAACCAACAGGGCCAAATTCTAAACTGGAAGGAGTTTTTGAACCGGCAGCTCTGGAAAACAATGTGGGGTTTTTTCCATTGCAATGCAAGTGGCTACAAAGACACTTTTAAATTAAAAAAAAAAAAAAACAGAAGACGCCTATGACAACAACCTAACTCTCAAAAACTCACTATGAAGCTACATACCACCTCGAGGCCGAGACGAATCATTACTACCAACGACTACTGGAACACCAGCATCTGCCAACTTCGTCTTCCATTTTTCAATGATTTCAGCTGAACCATCCTAGAAAAACGACGACATAGAAACAGCTATTTTAACTTGTATGGTGAACCAAACACAGTTCAAAAAAAATTCCTAGCAGAGACAGTATTCACTTGGACCATATTTTACACAAGGTCTGAAACATACCTTACTGGAGTCATTAAAAATCGACAGCTCCATGGTTTCCTTAAAATCTTGTTCCCAAACTGACTTCAAGCATGCGTCTAACCAGCGTTCGCTATTGTGAACAGGCACAATCACAGACTACAAAAAACCAAAGAGAAATCCGAATGTATGCCAGTAAGCATTATTTGTTTACTTACAGTATAACAATATTCACTAAAATGGGGAAGTGCCTTCTGAAATTAGCTTTCACAAAAAACGCACCTTAAAAATAAGAAAGTAGGCAAAGTTCCTTTATTTTGATTATAAATACATGATTTGCTTTCTTTTTTATCAAACTTTTTTTTCATTTTTTGAGTTCTACAAGATGGCTTTTGGTAGATCTCCAAGGAAACAAAACAGACTACTGAAGCAAAAACACTAACAAAACATCTAAACCTCACACTAACCTGTTTCTAGTACTCCTGCATTTCTCACAATGCTCTTTACTTCTGTCTTCCATTAATACATCTTACTCATCAATTTTTCTTTGAGCTTACCACCTGATCGGAGATGCTTATATATGCTGCCTGTACTCTTGGGCTCTGGTCAAATTTTTCAAAATAATTCTATCCAAAACTGCTATTAAACCCATTAGAAGATGACACATGACACAGTTCTCCAGTCTACTATTTCAATGGCAGGGTTTCCTATTAAAGTCTCTTTTGTTTCAACCACACACACGCAAAGCATGAAAACTTATCCGAAATATTTTAAAACTGGTTAGAAACCAGAGATGAGGGATTTCTCCATCCAATTACCCACCACGGTTCTAACTACTCTCCAAAAGCCAACAAGCCTCCCGAATTCTTTCAGTGTCTCAAAAAATACACTCCATTCAGAGAATGCAAGTCCTAAGAAATCAGCACAGTAACACGCTGGCTATGTAGAGGGGGAGCCCAAACCCGTGTCTGGTAAGATCGCTTATAGATTGAGAACTTGAGGCAAAGAGCACAAGTAACTTGTAAAAAGTCTCAAGGGACGTTTTGAGAGGTTCCTAGAAACAGAACTTAAACTCCTTATCATGTGGTACAACCATAAACACACAGTTTGAAGAAAGAGAGGATTAGTTCCTATTGTGAGCATGCGAGAATCCTAAGAAACAAAATACTAGAAGAGCACTGAAATTGAATTATTGGAGATGTGGTGACAGGTGAGTACAGGCACATTGTGGGAATACGTGCAAACAAATACATTAGCAGTTTTTTTACAGAGTATTAGGTATGCACACACAGGTATTACAGAGTACGATGTATGGTATGATGATCAACAAATAAGAGATTCAATAACATTTCACAGCAAAATTTAAAAAACTATACCTGTTTAAAAAGAATTAACATCCTGATTTTTGACAGTTTAGCAGGTGAAAGGAGTATTTAAAAGGAGGAAAGCTATCTAAAATTCTAAGCAAAACAGGTCTTTCATCTCTGTTTTGGATAGATAAATAAGCAAAATAAGGAGAAATAACAAAATAAAATATCGATTACAAAAAAATTACAATTACAGCATACAGACAAAAAATACTATTGTAGAACTATGTTTCAGGTTAGTACTTTGAGACTTTAAAAATAAGCAGAAATCTGAGATTCTAAACCAATATATTCAATTTAATTAGGATTTTAATAGTCCTCATGTCTAGATAGCAATTAAAATACAACCTTATACATCCATACTAATAAATCTAACATACTCATTCAGAAAGAAAAGGGTTCTCAATTCTTCCAATGACTATATAAGCTAGCTACAGTTTTGCAAATCCAGAAAAATCAATGATTTTCCAAAATTTTTTTCTAATTAACTCCAACAAATTTGACTGTGGCATCACAAACTAGCCTGATATTGGCTTGAAAACTGTAAAACTGGAACTTCTTTTGTTTTTCCATAATGAACTCCTGTTTTAAGTCAGGACAGCAGTGCAAAATATGTTAAGACACCCTTCTGTTTAGCTTGAACTGAAAACAGAAAAAGGAGTACTCCAACACCAGCACGTCTAAAATGATTCAAAAATACCTGATGGCACTAAGGCATCCTGAACTCAACATAATAGGTCATAAGACATTAGCATGCTCCTGAGCGTATTAATTTGAGCAAGTTCTACTTCTATAGAACTATCACAACAATGGTGAACTAGATGCCTGCTAAAATAAGGTACAGAGCTGAATTCCTGATGACACTTCTGTGTAAAACCTGAAAAATTAACAAACCCACACAAATAACTGTACACAGCAATATAATTAAGATATCAGAGTACTGCTAACGTTGTAAACTAAAGATTCCTTAGGTTCTACCATTCTTACTCAGATTACAGTTTTTCTGTGGTTTGTTTGTTGTTTTTTTTTTTTAAGCCAAAAAGAAATTTAAAATACCACAGAGCTAAACCTTCATTTCTCTCTAGTACGTTTCTACATTTGTAGCCTGGCTTAAAAGTTACAGCTGGCACTTGTCCTGAACTGGGCACTCGTAAATTGGCCTTTACCAACACGTGGCTGTCTCAGAATGCTTCGGTCCCCTTGGCTCATTTCAAGAGGGAAAAACATGAACCAGGGCACTATTTCACTTACAAGTGCAGATTCATAGCAAAAAATTCAGCCAGTAGAAGCTCAAGAGACCCTGTCTTCTTTCCCAAAACAAGATCAACTACAGCTATATTGTTGCTAACAAACCATAATCTCCAGGGACAGAAACACCATCCTTGCTAATGCAATCTCTAAAACCAGGCATAAGGAAGACCTGGAATACTGTTTCCCCACATCTAAAGTCCTTTTGCTGCAGTTTATGCCAACTACTATTTCCCAATGCCAGCACAGATTATTCTTCTAGTTCTCTTTGCAGCAGCTTTTCATATATTCAAAGATTATCAGCATAATAGTGAACTACAGAAGTATGCATTACTCTTTCAAAGTAATTACTCTTTCAAAGTAATTCTGAGTCAACGCAGGGACATAAATTGGAAACAAGTAATGTAGTTTTGTCATCACAAGATCAACTGAGTGACAAGTGAGTCAGAATTATAATTTCATTAGCTGAGACTGATTTACAGCAAAATCCAACACGTTCAAGGCCCATGAGCCAAGTACAACAGTTAATACACAGAACTACGAATCAGATTTGGATTGGAGCAGTGCGACACTACTTGGTTTTCTCTCAACTTCACACATTCTAGAATAAGACCTGAAGTGGTTTTAGGTATTTTTAGTAACGTAGTTTTGCCATCAGTAACCTGAAGATAATGATTCTTGGCTACGCCAAAAAATGAATTTTGATGTATGGCAAAAATGACAGAACGTGAAATGGTTAACAGGTAGCTCAATCCCCTTGCTTCTACAAATGTATTAACCAAAAAATCTCTCTTACTCCCTCAGCTAGGCTACTGACAAACAATACATCAATCACAAGATTGAAGAGAAGTGGAGAAATGTTGTGTTTAAAAAAAAAAAAAGTGACAGGAACTATGCAACTGAACGCTTTGCATCAAAAAAATCTCCTGTTTCGGGCATTACCACCATCATCCTCTACTGAGAACATCTATGATGAAGAACTCCAAAGTAAAAACTTAATTTCAGTTTTCACAGATTTCAGTTCGAGTAGACTCCTACCGGCCTCCATGTCTGAATGTGGAAAATATATTTAAAAAAAAATCATTTTAACACCGTTGAAGCTTTTATAGAACTCAAAACCTGTTATTTTTAAATGAAGTTTTTGTATGACTCACCACTACAAACCATTCAGAAACTCACGGCTGTTGGCAGAAACACACTGGTTTTGTCAAATTTTATATACGAGATTCTTTAAATAAACCCAGCAAGACTTTCAGGCCGCGAGCTCTGACCCGCCTGTCGGATGTGAGGCTGCGCGAAGTTGTTCACCATTCCCACTCGCCCACGGATGTGTCATTTCTGCTTTTGGGATGTTGGCTCACCAAATCGGAGTTGGTGCCCAACCGTAGCCGTTGTACGCGCATTTTGTCAAATTTTATATACGAGATTCTTTAAATAAACCCAGCAAGACTTTCAGGCCGCGAGCTCTGACCCGCCTGTCGGATGTGAGGCTGCGCGAAGTTGTTCACCATTCCCACTCGCCCACGGATGTGTCATTTCTGCTTTTGGGATGTTGGCTCACCAAATCGGAGTTGGTGCCCAACCGTAGCCGTTGTACGCGCATA